GCCCCCGACCATACACTACAAAAGAAACACCCCAATCAAATCTGACTCCGGAGACTCGGCCTGGCTGCTGTAGTTCTGTCAGTCACCCCTGCACCCCACTGCCCCGCTATCACCACCTTCTGAATGGCCCCGAACCTGACAAGATAAAAGCTAGAGCCCCTCCCCCTCTCTGACCCCCAGTGATGCCCCACCCACACATACGGTTTAAAGGAGAACTATGAGGTCAGGGCTTTCCCCATAGTTCTCCTTAGGGTAACGGGAGGACACAAACTAGCGTCCTCCCGTCACCCTAGGCTCAGTATATAGGGAGCTACAGCTCGCGGTATACTGAGGCGCCGCAGCCGGAGCGGATCCTGACAATTATGTCTGGATCCGCCCAGCTGCGTGAGTGACAGATGGCTCTGCCTATCTAGAGGCAGAGCCAGCTGTACCCGCCCCCTCCTCCGTCCGTTCCGCCAGTCAGCGCTGGAGGAGCGGGGAGGGGGGAATCCAGCCGGTATGTGTTCGCTCACTTCCCGATCTACTGAGCCGACCTGTGACAGTCTCATTGTCACAGGTCGGCTAGAACTATGAGGGGGAGTGAGAAGCCCCCCCCTCATAGTTCTCCTTTAAGGGCTTGTTCACACCAAAACGCGTTGCAGATGCAGAGCAGTTACAGACCGGATCAAAACTGCGTCCAATGTATTCCAATGGTATTTTGGGCTCTAGTTCACACCGCAGCCTTCAGTTCCAGAGTATGTGGAAAAACTTCAGCATGCCCTATTTTTTTTTCTGCTCTGGAACGCACCAAAAAGCATGCAAATGCATCAAAACGCATGCAAATGCTCTGGAAGGCACTGAAAGTCCATCTTGGGTAAAACATTTTTTTACAAAAACGGCTCGGAACGCATTCAAAACGCGGCCAAAACACACTGCACTGCGTGTGCAGAAACTCCAGCCGATCTGGTCTGCATTTGGTGTGAGCAAGCGCTTAGCTGTGCATAGTATAACAGAACCCGCGTGCCACTCCCACACGCACTGTGAAAAGCCGGCTGAATTCCGCTGATGTTAATACTATAAAACTCATCCAATGTATAGAAAAGGAATTTATTTTCGGCACTTTTGCTGGATAATATCTGTTCTTTCTGCCTGGAAATTGTTTTGTAACATTGTAACAAGATCTTGGTAAGTTCCTCTTCAATCTGCGCTCCTATTTCCACCTCATCCACTAACGCAGAAACCGCCCCTTCAGTAAGCCGCGCGCGTCGCGTTGCCTTGCAGACGCGTGATTGGGGCCTCGGCGGGGATCTCGGTAACATTGCACTTTGTCTCCTCTGTGGATGTCGCACCTCTGGTATGACAATGTAGCGCACACGTAGATCTCTGTGCACAGCGCACGCCTCCGATCATATCAGCTCAGTCACATACAAGGTGTGAAAGTGAATTGCGACGGAAACCTCCAGCCGCTTATCGCTCGGCTCCGAGCAGCTTATCAGAGTGAAAATCACGACCCGAAAGCTTCCAAAGCTGCAGAAATGGAGATAATTCTGCGAGGTGCTGAGGGGGGGGCCGAGTGAGGAGCGTCTCCACCGCCTCGGCCTCATCATTTATCATTCTACATAACAGATAATAAAATGTCGCCATCAGGCCGCAGGATCGCAACTGCGTCCAACAGAGACTCGCATACCTCCAACTGCACAACGCTCTATGAGCCCGTATACCTCCAACTAGCCATCCCTACTGTACCCCCCTATGAGCCCGTATACCTCCAAGTGCACCCCTCTGAGCCCGTATACCTCCAACTAGCCTTCCCTACTGTACCCCTCTATGAGCCCGTATACCTCCAAGTGCAACCCTCTGAGCCCGTATACCTGCCAACTAGCCATCCCCACTGTACCCCTCAATGAGCCCGTTTACCTCCAACTAGCCTTCCCTACTGTACCCCTCTATGAGCCCGTATACCTCCAAATATCCTCCGCTATTTACCCCTCTATAGGCCCGTATTCCTCCATATGTCCCCCTATTCTTCCTCACTGTGGGCTTCTATACCTAGAATTTCCCCTCCTACTATATGCAACTAGAGGCCTTTATACATCCAAATTTCCCCCTATGGTCTCTTATCCCTCATAATGTCCCCCCTACTACATCCAACTGTGGACCCATATACTTCCAATGTC